ATTAATAACTTGCATTTCAAATTAGTTAAGATTACTGTTTCTTACCATTATTTACGGCATGAAGCCTCTGCTGGCAAATTGCAGCAATGAGTCCAGCAACTCTTTTTTCATGAGCTTTGTTCTCATCTATTTTCCTCCAGCCTAAAATCAAAACACACAACCTTGTTTCCTTCATACACATATATATCCTTTGAGCCTGAAGAGTGAATAGCATCTAATTTCTCTTTAGAATATCATAATGATAAAGGAAATGATCACTATCTAAAAAAAAATCAAGGTTGTTACACAAATTCACCTGTCAGCACCATAAGAAATGTAAAGAGAACAGTTTGGAGTATATATATATATATATATATATATATATATATATATATATATATATATTATATATATACAGAATGATGTTAGGGTGTAAAGGGTTAAGAATCAAGGCTCACTAAACCAGTCCTAATAACACTAAACTGAGAAAAAGGAGAAGAAACAACTGAATACTTACCTTCCACTTCTGAAAGACGTCTCAAATCTGAACACAGCAAGTTAAGACAATTTTCAATGTTTTTTCCTTTGTCACTATATTGGTGAAAGGAAAACAGAAAATCAAGAAAATCTGCCTCAAGCTAAATACAACCTTTAGTTAAGCAGAACCACTACAGTCTGTGAAAAACCCAAATAAATAACAATGACAAACAGTGGAAATTCTTGATCAGTAAATCAATTATTCATTCCATTGCTCACATTTTTCATTACTAACAATAATGAAAATGAATCCAGCGAAACTAATTAAGGATATATGATAGATAGATCAGTTATCCCATATTAAAGGGAGCAGGTTAACATATATAAGTACCTGTGCAGAGTTTTTGAATCATGGATTACAATGTAAGACCACATTTTATGTCATAAAAGTAATATTTATTTCATTTCTAAAATAAGTCATTATTACTTACAGGGCAAGAAGGTCTTCTTTTCTTTTCATCACTTTGGAATAGAGCTATCCAATATAAGCCAGCCTTGGTTTAAGCTTTCAAACTCTTCTATGTGGTCTACAGACAAAAGTAAACAAATACATTGTTGGGCTGTGTAAGTTAAGCATGGCTTATAACACTTGAAATAAGAGTAAAAACCTGTGGTATATTCTCTACTTAAGTAAATAGCTGTTTTTTAACAATTGTTTTAGCAATTTCACTTCTAGGAGTGACCAAGACAGAATTTCTCCTTGCAATATCAAAACAATATAAAGCAGGTTATTAGTCCATCCAATACCAAATTCTCTGATCTAACATTATAAGAATTGTGCTGCAGGCAGTAATGAGAATTACTATTGAGATCCTGGAGTAAAAGATCTATAGCTCATTAATGTGGAAAAGAACTTAACATAAGTTTTTCAATAATGAAATGACTGCTCTGAAATTTGACTCAACAAGTGAATGCAACATATTATTTGTATGATTTGAAATTCCCAGGCATTTCACTTTATCATATTGGAAATGGATCACACACCTGATGACAATTGGCTCTCTGTATTTCAAGTTTTACTTTAGAGCAGGCTTTTTCCGAAGACAATAATTCATCTTGACCAAGCTTCATTTCAACATAACTGGCCAACTCTGAGAGAAGCTGGCTTCCACTAATGAGGCTGAACAAAAAAGTTAACATCACTCATCAACAAAATAGTTATAATTCAGAATAAAACATGTAAAGTTATGGATTTTATTCAGTGCCTATAACTCAGGGTTCCAAGAGTCTTACAATAAAACTGTTTGCTTGAAAATAAGTCAGATCAAACAGGAAAAAAAAAATAACCAAATTTAAGCCCCTGACCCTTTGGCATGGGAGGCTGGAAAACAAAACAGAACTTACATGAATTTTCATCTCTCTTGGGAATGCACTTCTCTTTTGTTGCAACTTCATCTTTCTCAATGAAAACTGTTTCCCTGTAAACAGTTGGGGACAACACAGACAAGGAGTCCACGGCTTCTTCATCATCTACTACAGGATGTAATACCTCAGGCTGTTCATCAATTTGAAACCTGACACTTTTATGAAGGTTCCTTTTACTCTGCACCCCTTTTCTCTCTTCACTCTCTGGTGGCAGACCCTGGCTAGCAAGTGGGTGTGTTTGGGGTGGAACAGGACTAAGATGAGCATGATGAGGAGAAGCCTGCCTCCTAACCTTTCCTGACCCCACTTTGGTATTGCTGCCAGATGAGAAATCCACCTGAGGTTCATCGTTTGGGAAGAAGCCACCTTGTTGCTCATAAGTTTTTTTGTCTTCCTCAGCAGTAATTTCTGTACCACTTGAGCAGCCAACTTCACTGTTTTTAGATTTCTTTCTGTCTTCCTCAGGGGCAATGCCTGTACCATTTGAGCTGCCAACTTTGTTGTTTTTATCTTGTTTTCTGTCTTTCTCAGCAGCAATGTCTGTATTATTTGAGCAGCCATGTTTCCTTTTATTTTAAAGCTTTATACTTTGCTGTCTTTCCCTCAGCTTTTCTTCTTGCTTGTTCCTCCCTGACCTCCTGC